ATTCTAGAGTGGAAGATAGTTATGGGAGAGAGTTACTCCCAGTGATTTGATGCTCCCGGTAGAGCCTGAATATTAAATCATTATTTATTTTTGTTGCTAATTATAGAAAGTAATCTTTTATTGAATTTTGGGAGGAGCAGGACAAGAGTTTATCTGTTAATAGAATTATTTTTTTGTACTTTTCTTAAATTCTTCGCTCTTTTGTTCAACAAACAGAATTGGGAGACCCACACGTTACTTTCACATGCCGTAGGTAAAACATCAAGGGGGTGAAACGTAACATTGGTGTCAGGAGTGGGATACAAATATTCTCAATCTTCCGGTTGAACGAGAAAAAAACAATAAAAAATTATATATATTAGCAAAATCTAATTCATTTATCATGATAAATTAATATGTCTTAAAATAAAAGTTGGAAGATTCAGGAAAGCCAATCTTTCATCCCAGGTCTTGTATTGGGAACGATTTTTCCCTTGATGAAGATATGGGTCCTCTCCCAAACAGGCATCAGCCTCCCAGCCTACTGTAAATATGAATGAACTTGTATTGAATGCAAAGCAAAACATGAGTAAAGAGTGAACACCTCACACAATTCAAAATACTTGCTCAACTACATAATTGGGATTACAGAACCAAGTCCCTTTATTTAGCCAGTAGTTTAACAGGGGGTAGCATTGGCTATTCTGACAGAATTAAATAAAACCCAACAGCAAGGTTTTGGTTCACTCGTAAAAGTTTTAAGCATGTGTTTGCTGCCATGGAGGAAGATCTGAGAAAATGGAGAGATGCCGGAAAGCTGAGTGATGGCCATGTGAGCTGGTGGCGGGAACACCTTGAGAGGGAAAGGAGATATCCAATGCCAAGGATCCCAAGGGTCAGCTCCTTCCAGCCTCACTTGAGAATCCAAGAGAACCCTGTCTCACTGCCTGCTATGGAGGTCCTGGACAATCACATTTCAAGTCTCAGGTTTGTTATTTGTTTTTTTTTTCTTTGTTTTTGTTATGTAGTTGTTTGGGTATAAGGATAAATCAGTTCTTACATCCAGCATTTAAATATCGTTGCAAGGTAATGATTAATTTTGTGAAACTGATCTCATTAAAATTAAAGAAGAAAGGGAAAATAACTTGCACAATTATCTGGATTGCATCACATATTTTCTGCTGGCAAATGCTACAGGCTTGATGGCAGAAAATGAAAAGAAACCAGTTTTAATAGGTTCATGTAGAGCTGAATGAAAGAAACATCTTCATTTTATTTATTTGTTTTTCTTATATTTGTAGGTCAGAGTTGTGAGGAGAAGAAGATGAATCTAGCAAGTGTTATCATGCCAATATGTTCGAAAATAAAACATTTAGGTCATCTACAATAGAAAACAGTCTCAATTCATTCTAAATATTTAATGAAATAAAAAGACCTCAAGTACATGGAATATATTGATCATGAAGGGTTTCAGAAGTGTCTGCAAATCAAATAACTGGAGTCATGCAATGTATCATTTAATCACAATGATATCCTTTAGGATGTCAGATGGAACAATTCAACATTTTAACAAATTTTACCATTCATTATGTGAAAGGGAAACAAATAGACAACTAGTATTTACATTAGATCTCTGTTCAGCTTTTGTTAACATTTTGTCAACAATGATAAGTCTAAGAATTAAAATGAAAAGAAGTTCATGCATAAAATGAAAAAGTCATCTCACATTTTGTATAGTTGAATTTTACTGTCACTACCTTGAAAACATATTGTGTCACAAAATGATTTTTGTTTTGGTGTTTAAGACTTGTTACAAATTTTGCATGTATTTTTGTTAAATGTTGCAGTGTATCTCTGTGGTGATGTGAAATCAATTATATATTATATAATATCACAAATATTAAAATTCAATGAAATAATTGTGTGGTTGATTTTTTAAAAAAGATATTTCATGTAAATTGACTTGGATAATCTACAGGAACATTATCTGTGAAAAGTTTGCCATCATGGCAAACTTTTTTTTTTCAAAACCTCCAAATAGTGACGGAATACCGTATAAGTGGAAATTTTAGCTAGACACAAATTTACCGATTTGACCTTAAAAACTGGTAATTTATTTTAGCGAAATGTTATTTTAGCGATTTTAAAATGCACATTCAAGAAGCTATTACAAATAAAACGCAATTAATTTTTAGCGATATTCATCTTTAGCGATCTCAGTACCCCCGCTAATAATGCCAAAATTAAATCCTCTCTAAAAATTCTACTTATACGGTATATAGATGTTAAAATTGCTGATTGCATAAAGTTTTCTAGCAAAGGAGTCAGAAGCAATTTGAAAGGGGGGAGGCTTAACCATCCAAATAAGGTAACCCCCATTGTTCAATACCTCTATAATGACTATCTTTGCAAAAAAAGGTAAGGGGCTAAGCCCCCCCCCCCCAGTTCCGACGTCTATGACAAGGAAAGAGTTTCTCTAGTACAGACTGTACCTATTGACTCAAATTTTTCATCATAAGTAAGGAGAGGGCAATCAATCATTTAAATTTGGCCAAACCTGATTCTAGATTAAATAATTGCTCAATACACAAAACTGCAACAACAACAAAAATATTAATAAAAGCATACATTAAAATATATGGTCCTGTAGTTAAAAGTGCCTCAAAATTGTTTTACACACAGTCCATTCTTTTTCAGAGTTGATCATTCAAGATTTTTATAAGTATCCTTCAGCACAATATTTCAATTTCTTATGGCATAACTGCACACTAGAAGAAATGTAATTTTTCCATTTAGCAAACATGAAAATACACTGTTTACATGATTAAAACATGTTTTATTCATTATTGCTTGCATTCAGCAGTGCTATGCCTATATTAACACAAAACAAATCAAAACAAAATATACCTTCTCCTGAATTTATTAGGCATCACTTGTATCCGTGAATATTTTTTAAAATTCGATCGGGTTCGAAATTCTAATAAATGGAGACCCTGTGGTTGTGGTCAAGACAGTTGCTAGGCCTTTTAACAAATATTTCAACTTGCACATATTGTAAAAAACATTTCAGAGATTGATTTATAGGTACATGAAATTATCAAAAAAGATAATAACTTATGCATACCTTTAATTAAATCAATAAAAAGTTTAATTATTTGTACTTGACTACTTCGATGTTGTGTTTTAAGACAGATGACTCAGGTGTGAAAAATTACCAGCTAAGTGCCGATTTTTGAGTTATCGTTTATATGAACGACATATAGGCTGCTTCAGCATGGTATTGTTATGTTCACAAAAGGGAAACCGGTTTCTTACTACGAAAGCCCATTGAGCTCATTTTGGTAGGTAAAAAAAAATACATTGTTTTGTACGCAAAAGAAGGAAAATGTTTTCACTCTACCTGAAATAACAGGGTCAAATGAATGGGGAACAGACTATATTCAACATTTTAAACTCTCTTTGACGACTGTTATGAAGAAGAAAATTTAATGCCATGTTTTATGTGGGTGTACTTTTGCGCTTCCTATATAAACATATATATTTTTACAAGTAAATGCAACAGTTAATTATCTTATTTGTGTTACTAAGCACGAAGAAGAACAACTGAGTATAAAAATTAAATTAGGTTAGAACTAAAAAGGAGGGAAGACTTAACTTTTTATTTTAATTAAAAATTTTACTTATATGTAATTAAACGGTGTCCGCAACGATATAGTAAATAAGTTTAACATTAGTTTTAAATTTTGAAACCACTGGATTCTACTGACAGCAAAGAAACACTTGGGAAATGCTAAAAACTGACTTGTGTATAAACAGTTTGATACCTCGGACCTGCTCTAAACAAGTTTCAGCAACGAGTTATCGTTCATAACAGCGAACCCTAGCGGCAATTGAAAGGCCTACAGTTGCAGCATGTCTACTAGGAATGATGAGTTGTATGCTATTGTTGTTATGCTTGTGACAGTAACTAAAAAAAATATGAATTATGATTTTACTATTCTTAATTTGAAACAGCGCTTAGAGGAATAAATAAAAAAAATTGCTGGACTGGGAACAAAGATAAAAGAAATTTAGACCAGAGGAAATTCAAACTGCTTTTTCAACACTGTGACTTCTCATATTTATTTGTTTGTTTGTTAAATGTAATTGTATATAGTAGGTAAAGTTAAAGATATAGTAAACGGTTTTTCATGCATTGGATGAAAAACTGGTAAAGCATAGTTGAAACTTCCGCTAGTCTCCATTTTCTTTATCATATACTACTACTAAGAGTCTTTTATTTTCTTTACCATATACCAGAGATAGACAACAGTTATGGATGGTATGAATTTGTAAAAAACAAAACAAAAGCATGCAACTGGAAGACTTATTGGAATAAACATATTTATAGTGTGGTTTGTTAAGCTAATGAATGTGTTAAAGGGATTACTATAGTGGTCATCCTATATATTCAGCAAGTTTGTCAAAATCAAAAAGAATCACTGACCCTCCCTTAATAAGTTAAGCAAATATGTTATTTGCGGGTATCATTCATAAAAACTGGCAGAGATATCTGTAGCATACATGCTTTATCAATGTAATGAATAGGAAGATCAGCTTATTTGTCCCACATTCTCGACTTGTACATTCCGATAATGCATTGCGGCGGAAGTTGGGGTACAAGCGAGGTCAGGGGTAAAGCGTTTTGTAGCGCAAAATGAAAACACAGCCGAATAATGGGCAAAAATGACTTTTGTGTTACGTACGGCTGTAATCACCTTCGCGCCTATGGGGCAACATGTACTTTTTTCACATTTTCAGATGACCCAGAGTTTTTTCAGAAGTGGACTAATGCGTGTAAACGGGAACTAGTGTTACAAAGTGGGAAGAGGACGAAATGGGTACTGTGATGTTTTTACTCTAAATTCAATCTGTCAATCTATAATTAACAATTATTATAGTGCCAGCAACAGAATGTTTATTTTCAATCAAGCACTGCTCTCTGACATTATCAGTTCTCACTGTAAAGTTCGCTCCCTAATTTCATCTGTTGTCAATCATTATCATATACATCGGAATATGTTCAATTTGATGGTCACTTAATAAATAGTTAGTAAACTAGATAGACGTGTTCTTTTACCTCTCTCTCACAACATTACAGGTACCATCTGAATTTCAGAAGCTTTGTAGCTGTCATTTCGAGAGTGATCAATGCCCAGATCTTAAGTCCAGAAAACCGGGAAACAAGAACAAGATCCCAACAATATTTTCTCACAAGGTAATTAAGGATTCAATAATACGTAAAGAATGGATTTTAAATACATACATCATTATGTATATGTTTACAACTGTTACATAATTATAATAAAACAGCATAAACAATTACAATCTATGTGTGTATCATCAAGAAATATATACATATATATGTCTGATGAGAAATAGGTCTATGCATGCATGGTCTTTAAACTTCACCTAGCAGTTAACTGCACACTGCAGGTCCAGTCCAAAGACTATTTCTACCTACGTAGCTATTAATAGCTACCTAGATATTTAAAGCTACCCAAAGTGGCTATTTTTACCTACTTTCTGCTTTACTTGGATTTTGTGGCCAAATGCAGGAATGGCGCAACATAGTGAGCACACAATTTCTTGATACAGTAACACTGATGATTGATATGATAAACATTTGTCCATAAAATGATTACTTCATATATTATCAATTTTGCATAGAAAGAGCTAATGTAAAATTTCCGATTCGGGAAGTAATCATTTTTTGGCCAAAATTTTGTCGTATTCATCATTAGTGTGACTGTTTCAAAAATATTGTATTCACCATGTTGCACCGTCTGGTCTTTTGGCCGCAAAATGCAACACATATAAAAAGTAGGTAAAAATAGCTACTTTGGATGGAAATAGAATTTGGACTGGACCTGGACTGTATGCTAAACATGCTGAAGTGAAAACCAGTTAGTTAACAACAACAACAAAAAAGATCTGCATGTGCCTAAAGGTGGTGCATTTTGGAAAAAAAAAATCATAAATGAATGTTAAAAGTAATACATAGATCTAAGTAGTTTGTGTGATATTTAATTTTTTTATTCATAATAGGAAACCCCTAAAAGAAAGCCTCCTAATAAATATATGAGATCATGTGAAAAGCCAGAAACAGCAACCTCATCTTCTCTTTCAGAAAGTACAGGTAAACAATTTGTTTATTTGGCAATAAGATAGCTGCAGAACTGTAGCTAATCCTTGAGAAAATTCAGACAGATATTAAAAGCAGAGAGCTACAGATCCAGGCATGAAAAACCTTTGATTTACACCGACAATTTTTTGTTGTTCACTTTGTTGTTCACTTCAGGTATTTTTCCTTGTATTTTATCCTTTCCTCAGCTTTAAAAATGGTATTTAATTATAAATACCTAACTTACAAGTATATGATCAGAGTAAATGATAACATGCTAATATGCCGCTGGGCCAATTTCAACCAAACTTGCTACAAAGTGTCCTTAGGTGAAGGGGATTCAAGATTGTTCAAATGAAGGGCCACACCCTTTTCCAAGGGGAGATAATTATGAATTAGAGAAAAAATAATGGCATTTTTAAAAAATCTTCTTCTCAAGAACCACAGGGCCAGGAAAGATGAAACTCATATGGAATCATCCTCAGGTAGTGTAGATTCAAGTTTTTTTCAAATCATGACCCCTGGGGGTAGGGTTGGGCCAAAATGGTCGATCAAAGTTTTACATAGCAATATATAGGAAAAATCTTTTAAAAATCTTCTTCTCCAGAACCACTAGGCCAAGAAAGATGAAACTCATGCTGAATCATCCTCAGGTAGTGTTGATTCAAGTTTGTTCAAAACATGACCCCGGGGGTATGGTGTGGCCAACATGGTCGATCAAAGTTTTACATAGGAATATATATTTGAAAAATCTTTAAAAATCTTCTTCTCCAGAACCACTAGGCCAGGAAAGATGAAACTCATGTGAAATCATTCCAGGCAGTGTAGATTTAAATTTGTTCAAATCATGACCCCCAGGGGTAGGGTGGGGCCAAAATGGCTGATCAAAATTTAGCATAGAAATATATCTGGGGTAGGGTGGGGCCAAAATGGCTAATCAAAATTTAACATAGGAATATATATGGCAACCTTTTAAAATCTTCTTTTCAAGTATTTCAAAGCCGTGATTAGTAATATTTATATGGAATCATCCTCAGGTAGTGTAGATTTTAGTTCGTTCAAATTATGATCCCCTGGGGGTTTAGATTCAAGCCCCCCCCCCCCCTCAGTTAGCTCAAGTAAGTGCTGTGGCCCTGGGCCTCTTGTATTATGTCTTGTGCGGGGCTGGGACAAGTCATAGTAAAAGCAGGGGTTAGAGTCAGAGGAATCTCAGATTACTTCACATGTTGCAGGGAATGAAAAATAAAAAGCATCACATTTTGATTTCAGTAGAAACTGCATCAAAGGCTGACCAACGCCCACCTTCAACACTGCCAACAGCTACTGATGGACAGAATGAATTCGACCAACAGTCAGCTGCAACTGCTAAAGTACATATATATATTCTGTTCGAGTCTTGTGATTCTTAATTTTTTTCATTGGATATATATATATATATATATATATATATATCAGAACAGCTGATTTTTATCAGATTGGGGAAGGGGGGGGGAGATGTTACATTAATGATTACTCTTCATATTTAAGGTAAATGTTAACTATTTTGACATATTTTATGGCTTAAGTTAAGCTACAATTAATTTTTTCAATAATTGGAATCAGATGATTGATCAAACGTAGTTTTGCCATTTGGCAGAAAAAAATCTCCTTGGGGTAATTTGAATGGTTCAGTCAGGTTACAGGAAACAAACATAATTTTTTTTTCTAGGCCTAAGCTAAATTAGTTGATCATATATTTTGAATATTTTGTGGATTGCGTGCAAGATGATGTATTAATTACTGATTTCTTAATTATTTTAATGGGCACCAGAGATCAATGGCCACGATTACCTGAACACACTTTCTGACGAGAAGAGCGTCCAACTTTTTGCTGATATCACATCAAATGACCCAGATTTCTGTGCATTTTTCCAATCTGTTCAAAACTATTCCAAAATATACCAACAAATGTGTTCAAAAAATCAGATTTTCAATATGGAAGTCATAGAGCAAAATAAGCAGTTGTTTAATTTTTACACAGGCTTTGATCTTGATGTTTTCAACTCACTATTTACATATTTACAACGAAAAGCTTCATCTATGCAGTACTTCCATGGTGAAAGAACAACTTATGTCCAACCATTTAATCTGGATGGCTATGGTGTGAAGAGAAAGCCTGGCGTTTCTAGACAACTCATTCTGCGAGAGGAATTCTTCAGTGTTTTGTATCGTTTACAGACGGGACACTTACTTGACGAATGCAGTATTCGCTTTGGTTTGAGCTCCAGTCAGTTCTCTAGGAATTTCACAACCTGGATCAATCTCTTATCTGTTGAACTGGAACTTTTGTGTAAAAACGCAGAGCCAGATGATGATGTTGGACTTGCAAGTTGCTTCAAACCATTTTCAAACTTGAGAGTTATTCTGGACTGTACAGAACTGTTCAGTGAGACACCTTCCAGTGTGGAGTACCATAAACAGACTCACAGCAATTACAAACATCATTCTACAATTAAATTTCTGGTGGGTATCCATCCCTCAGGGGCCGTGACATATATTTCTAAATCTTATCCTGGAAAATCGTCTGACAAACAAATTACTCAAGAGAGTCAAGATCTTCTGGACTCCATGGAACCAGGTCAGAAAGTTATGGTTGACAGAGGATTCACCATTGAAGAGGACCTCCCGTACGGCGTCAAGTTAGTAATCCCATCCTTCAAAGGTTCAAACCGACAACAGATTACTGCAAATGAATTAGCTAAGTCAAAGGTTATTTCAAGGGCGCGAGTTCACGTGGAAAGATGTATGCGGATGATCAAGTCTTTTAATATCTTAAGACAAGAACTCAAACTCTCACAAGTTGATGTTTATGAGCAAATATTCAAAACATGTGCTTATCTTGTGAATTTTCAAAATCCGTATTTAAAGTCTGATGATAATTAAAAGTATGACCTTATGCCGTAAATCTCAGGCACTTGACAATACATTCTTGTATTTTTCTCATAAAAAACAATAACCTTATAGTATATTGTTAATGGTTATAGATGTGGTTTTATCATTTTTTCTAAAGAGACATATGCATTGTTATGTGCTCATGTTTTTGGAGTATCTCTGTAATTTTATTGCCTGTTATGATTTAACTTGCATAGATGATGCTAAGCTTGTAGGGATTGACAAATTTGATGTAGGGAATAATATTCATTTTCTTAATTTAATAGTCATTTTGGAACAGGTCAACTACACGTATAAGTCCTACTTAAACACAACTTGTATGAATATTGTTTTCAGGATGCATACTAACTATAAAGAAAATATAATGCCGGATTTGTATTATGTAAACTGATAAAATTTGTCTTTGATATGTTTAATTATTTATTATAAATACACAAAGCTTTAATTAGAGATACTTTATTATACACAATGAACTCCAACAAAATACCCTTTGTTAATATAATTAATATTTAACCAGTAAACCAAGGGTGTATAAAGAGACCACAGTACAATTTTGTATTATAATTAAGTAGAATACTTCTTTCATATTTTTGTATAGTTAATTTTTTGGTAAAACATCCTTCTTGAAAATAGCCTAAGTAATTGAATTATTCATAACAGTGCTTAATAGTTAATTTTTACATAGCAGATATAATAATTATTTGTGAGACCTCAGATTCAGTATTCTATTGAGTTCATTGAAGTATTCTGTACATTTAATCATGGATTATGTGGAATTTAGTAATTATGAAGTAAAATGTGACTGCCATCTTTCACATAATCTTTCACATAATCTTTCCCTTTTTCGGTTTTCGTTGGGAAAGGTTATTTATATAGAGTGGTGATTACGTTATATATATATATAAAACATTTGTGTAAATTAAAAATCACTTGTATAACAACAATTCTTGACAGATTTTATTACAAATTTCTTGATAAATCCAAGAAATAGTCCTAGTTGAAAACAATAGTGTTTATCTGATCAACATCGATATTTTTAAAATAATGTAATTTAAGTGCGACATGAATTTTTAAGTCACATACAGTGAATTATATTAGTCAACATTGATCTTGAATTTTAGAATTGATGTTAAGTGATGAACTATCTTTTACTAACAACTAAGTATGTAATGATTTTTTAAAGAAAGATAACTACACATTCTCTGGTTTAAGTACTGAAATGAATAATCAAATTGGACAAAAATGGAACATTTGCAAGTGATTTTACAAAATATTGTTTTCGATGAAATATATTGAGAAAAAATAAAATGATCTTAATTACGGCACATGGTATATATGACTTCATTGTTTACTTTTTGGTGTTGTTTCATTTTTCATTCATTGAACATTCATTCTCAGGTTCAATCTTGTTTAAAATTTACTGAATACATGCTCATAACTTTGTCACTAATAAGATATATCTTCATTTAGATAGCTTCTTAACAAATGATCAGGTGTCAAATTTCAAATTATATAGTACTGAGAATGTATAACAATTTAATTCAAACTAATGTATATCATTTTTACTCTAATTATTTTAAAAATTTATTACAATTTTTGTACTCAAATAAAATTTGAAACACAATTATAAATTGCATTTTTTCATTGATGGACTAGCAAAGAAAATGAATATGATTATGAAATTATTTTATTAAACCTTCGGAGAGTCTTGTATTCAAGTGCAGTCAAGTAAACAGTAAAAGAAAATTTCAGCTTGGACCCCTAAACTACAATTGATTTTTCAAGAAACCGTTAGGGAGTGTCTGACTTTAAAATACTATGTCACAGTTCCTTACACAAGTGGGACAATACCACTGACAATCTAGATCTTCATACTCAGCTGGATCATAGCACACACATATCCAATGATAAAGTTTTCTACATCCACAACTACACTCCCCCAAAATGCTTGAGTCCATATCTCCCTCTATCAATCTTAAACATACCCCACATTTAGCATACAAGTCGTCTGATTCAGCAGCTGTTCTTGGCTCATTAGGACAAGCATTCATTTCAATACAGTATGGCCCTAAAAATTTCTCATAAAAGAGAGAGAGATTTTCAAATGTCCTATTCCAGTGCATTTGGTCAAATTCGATAACTTCATGAATGTAATCAGCAGGTGACCATACAATGAAGTGGGTTTTGTGGATATTGGTCACGCCCATCTGTACCTGAACTTGAGTGTAATACTTATGGTTTCTGTTTAGTGTAATTTTGCCATCAGCTTTTTTCAGAAAAGGAGTTTTTTTCAAAATCCTCATTGGGATTACCTGCTGCTAATGTGAATGGACATTTAATTTCTATAAGAGATTTTCCGCAACAATCACAACTAAGTACACCATCTGGTGAAGCTCCAACGTATCCAACACTATGAAGATGCAATCCTGATTCTTTCACTTTTGTGTTAATATGACACTTTTTCATATCATCCTCGAATTTTCGCAGTGCTACTGCTTCAAATTTATTGTCATAATCAGTAGCTTTGTTTCCTTTGAATGTTTGTCCTAACAGTGTTTTTAGTAGGCTGCTGACCTTTTACCGGCTTTTATACTTGTCATGGCAATTTTTACACTGTGTGCATTTGAAGCCGTTATTATACCTTTCCTGTAATCATGCCACAAGATGTTTTTTGCCTGACCTTTGGTGCTTTCTTCGATGGCCTGAATGTCCACTCCTCTGGGGTTCGTTTGATAAATTCTGTTAAATTTTGCACGCTCTTTATTTTTGGACTTAACTGTAGGCTTGTATCAGGTAGTGATGGTTCTAACAGTGGTTGGCCTATATCCATTTCAGTGGCTGTTTCCTCGCTTGATGGAACCATGGGATCAGTGAATTCTGTTAACGTGTACATATCTGGAAGAGACTGAACTGAGTGTTCTTTGTAAAAAAAAAGTGTCCTCTGGTGGTCTAAACTTAGAGGGTTAGTATAATTTGTTAATAGGAGAATTTGGCTTACACTCTCTTAAAGAAGAAAACAACTGTAGGTAATCTTGAAAATGCACTTTCTGGTCACTGGGATGCCGAGGATCATGCTCAAAAGCTCTTATTTTCTTTTTTCTAGGTGCTTTGTTGAATTTTTTCTTCTGGATTGCAAAGTCATGAAATGGTTTAGGTTTGGATGATGATCCTGAAAAGGCAGAATGATAAATTTAAGAACTTGCACACAAATTTTATCCAGATAATATGCAGTATACTGTAAATCTTTAAGAATTAGTCACGGCTTATAAATGCATATATTTCTAGTATACATTGTAGATATTCCACATGTAAGTGCATTATAAACTAAAATCTCTCACATTAAAAAAGCATGAACCAGCATGTTGTTCATAATATGCTACAGTTAAAGCTTATAGTTAATTGAAAATACCTACTGTATATGTTGATAATTTTCTCGCAGCACATAGTTTAAAAACAGACTTACCTTTGCTGTTTCCGTTCAAATCATTGATTACATTCATTGCATTTGATACCTTTCAAATGTTGAAATTGAGCAAATTAACAGCAGCAGTGTGATGTCAAAACAAATATATTGAAGGATTGATAAAACACTGATACCATTATATTGCATGCTATCAGTCCAGCTGATTGCTACCAGTCCTGCTGACACTTAAAATGGCACAGCCATGATGTTTTCATGCTATCAGTCCTGCTAATACATAAAATGGCACAGTCATGATGTTTTCATACAAAATGCCCTGGTTATTTCAGCACAGCTGAAAAAAAAACTTACTGCATGGTTAACATTAAAATTGAACAAGAAAACAACAAACCGAACATTCAAATTGTAAAATATAATTCAAATAGTATCAAAATATACAAATTGCATAAAAACAGAATCATAATAGTTCGAGTAATTCTGTGTAATTTATTTACCCCTTGGATTAATCCAGTATGCTGATTTTTCTGTTGTCGCTGGACCATCAGGTAGTTCTTGAAAGCCATGGGATATAAACTCGGCTACTCCAAATAATATCCCAGCAGTGTGACTGCAAGCTGCTGCCGCACTGAATATATATTCAAAACACATATTTTTTTTAATGCTCTCATTTTCAGGAATACTAGTACAGTAAAACTCGGTTATAACGAAGTCGCTGGGACAAATGAAGTTACTTCGCTATATCTGTAATTCGTTATAACCGTATAAGAAATTTATTAAATTTATGTAGTGGGGATCCAAGATGACTTCGCTATATCCACGAATTCGCAATATCCATCTTCGTACTAAACACGTTTTACTGTACATGTATCTATGACACTCAGTAACTAAATGGATAATAAAAACAAAATTAACAACTTTTTATCATTTAAATCTTCCCGAAATAAGATTCTTTTTAAAAAAAAAATCAACTTCCAGGGCTCTAGACCAATTGCATCTTACCCTCCTGCACACAGACAGTAGGCACCAATTGGATCGCCGCTCAATTTGTCAATCAAAACACTCGTTTCGTACACCTTACCACTTGTCCAGGAGGCATTTGATTTGCATCTTAATAAACATACACTGCTTTCTTCTTTTAGCGAATTATACTCAAAGGAATGAATATTCCCGGAGTGTCTGTAAATTTTTCTAGGCATGCATCTTCAGTTCGTTGAACACCCTGTTCGCTTTGAATCAAATATTTTTTGACTTTTTCCATTGTGACTGATGGAATTTGTCTGATGTCTTTAGTCCACCCAGATTTTGCATTATTTATTATGATTACAATGTCAGAGTTTGCATTATTTCCCTGTATGGGAAATTTTGAAATGCTGCACAATTTAAGTCTTTTTGATTCAACAGAAAGAGATTTTATATTCACACCATTGTCCCTTAAAATACTATTCAGGTCTTTAATTTTTAGTTCTTTCACATCATTGTAGGTTTTTAATAATTCTATTTTTACTGTTGCATTTGTATTTGTTGATGACATCATGGAAAAAGTCTACAGGAAGTTAAAGAGGAATTGCAG